TTTGATATACTTTATTTTAAGGCCAGAATTTAATGAGTATGATATATATAAATAAAAGACTTAATTTTGCAGTTCCATCATTGTTAAATTCAATACATGTGAGTTCAGATACTAACAGATCACAGATCACCAAATTATACATGTTCAACTTCTAGAAGTTTAGGTATTTGTAAGAATAAAATATCATTACATTTCTAGATCATCTTTAGCATTTTGTTTATTTTAAAATAATAACTATATTATGTGAAAATCAATTATCATGTAATTTTTTTAACTAGAATACTTATTAAAAACCTATCAAAACCTTCAGAATTATAAATAGAATCTGTATGAAAACCAGCTTAATAGCCCTCGTTTGTACTTTAAGATCAATAAAAAAAAACCAACAAAAATAGAAGCTACAAAATTAGCAACAGAATATATGTGTATTTAAATACTTTTATACTAATAGTTTAACTGAAATAAAACAAATTTGTTCAAACAGTTTTCTTATTTTTATGGCCATGCATGAAATACCTTTCCCCTATTCCTGTCCATAAATAGAGCAAGAAGCTCCACCTCTCCACTCACACAAACCCAATTCTCCCCAGAAAAAGGAGAGAAAAAGAGAAGAAAAACAACCATGACCATGAAAGATTCAATTGTTCTCTACTCCGCTTTGGGAAGAGGACACCTAGTTTCCATGGTGGAACTAGGCAAATTCATACTATCTCACCACCCTTCCCTCTCCATCACAATCCTCTTCCTCACTCCACCCCCCAACCAAGACACCCCTACTTCCCCCACCGCCTTCACCTGCGCCGCCACCGCCAAATACATCTCTGCCGTCACCGCCGCCATCCCCTCCATAAGCTTCCACCGCATCCCTCAGATCTCCCTTCCCACCGTCCTCCCTCCCCAAGCCCTCAACTTCGAGCTCTGCCGCGCCACCGCCCACCACCTCCGCCGCATCCTCAACTCAATCACTCACTCCTCAAACCTCAAAGCCGTCGTCCTAGACTTCATGAACTACAGCGCCGCACGTGTCACCCACGCGCTTCAAATCCCCACATACTTCTACTACACTTCCGGTGCCTCCACCCTCGCCATTTTCTTTCAGCAAATCATCATTCACGAAAGCACCACCATGTCCATCAAGGACCTCAACATGCACATTACCGTCCCCGGGGTGCCCAAGATCCACACCGATGACCTCCCAGATCAGGGAAAGGGTCGTGAAAGCGAAAGTTGCCAGGTTTTTATCGACATAGGAAAAAGCATGAGGGACAGTTACGGCGTTATAGTAAACTCGTGTGATGCCATCGAAGGGAGGGTTGTAGAAGCTTTCAAGGAAGGGTTGATGGAAGGACCCACGCCACCCGTGTTTTGCATTGGGCCTGTCATTTCTTCTGCTCCTTGTAGAGGAGACGACAACGGGTGTCTGAGTTGGCTCGACTCGCAACCGAGTCAGAGTGTGGTGTTTTTAAGCTTTGGAAGCATGGGAAGATTCTCCAGGAGGCAGCTGAGAGAGATCGCTATTGGGTTGGAGAAGAGTGAGCAAAGGTTTTTATGGGTTGTAAGGAGCGAGTTCGAAGAGGGTGACTCGGGGGAGCCACCGAGTTTGGAAGAGTTGCTGCCGGAGGGGTTTTTGAAGAGGACAGAAGGGAAGGGGATGGTGGTGAGAGACTGGGCCCCACAGGCTGCGATACTGAATCATGACTCGGTGGGTGGGTTCGTGACTCACTGCGGGTGGAACTCGGTGTTGGAGGCTGTGTGGGAGGGGGTGCCAATGGTGGCGTGGCCTTTGTATGCAGAGCAGAAGCTGAATAAGGTGATTTTGGTGGAGGAAATGAAGGTGGGTTTGGGTGTGAAGGGGAACAAAGAAGAGTTAGTGAGTTCCAGCGAGTTGTGTGACCGAGTGAAGGAGCTGATGGACTCCGACAAAGGGAAAGAAATTAGACAGAAGATTTTCAAAATGAAAATTAGTGCCACTGAAGCAGTGGCAGATGGTGGTTCTTCCATCATTGCTTTGAATAGTTTAGTGGAGTTGTGGAGAGAGCACTAGCATTATAGAATTAGAGGGTGAGTGAAACTGATGCAGAGAACAATAATAAGTTTAGAAAAGTGTGATGCAGTATAAAAGCTGAATAACTTTCTCAATGAAGAATGACTAGAAAAGTTGTTGTAAATTATAAATGTTAGTGCATGTTTCAAATTACTATAATTAATCAAGCCGTGCTAATAATATGTATACTTTTTTCTCTATTTGTACGTGCTATAGAGTATTTAAAGTGGTTCTAAACTAGTGTAAGAGCAAAATTATGCAGTAATCTTTTTAAAAGATAATGTATATTAAACTAACTTTTTCCCGTTAATTTCTGTTTTAATTTTAATTTTTTTTTGCCCATTCCATAATAATCCGTCTTTCTGGTTCGTAAAGTGATTCGTTAAAAAAGTATGAAACTTTTAATGTGTGGAACATGGTTAATTTTGGCTTATTCAGCGGGGCGTTCGATGATGCTTCAATCAGTGGGTGCTTGATTGAAGACAGTAACATTTTCTTCTGCTACATTTGCGTCACGTGAATTTGTCGTAAAAGCCATAGGTTAAACAGGTTGAAGATGAGGTGATGCGGTGAATTTTTTGGATTCAATAAACCTGTTTGAAGATATAGATTGAGTTGTTTATATTCAAAGATAACTCTACTTCATTTTCTTTTGTAATTTACGATCATCACTAGAAAATTAGTTATTTTCGTTTTTTTTAAAAAATTATTTAAATTTGTAGAAAGTTTATTTCTTACAATTTTTACAAAAAAATTGTATATAAAATATGAGAATCATGTTTCTAAAATTTTATGTACATGAGTTATATTTTTTAAACATATTTTATTTATATAAATTTAGTTTGATCCACCCTAATGAATTTATAAATTAGAAAAGTCCAATTTTCAAATGGTAGTGATGTGGAGAGGGGAAAATAGAGTAAACTCTAATTAAAAAATAATTATGTTTTGGAATGGAGGGATATTCTGAAACATGGCACTTGAATCATAATGGCTATGGTGCGCGGTAAATATGTATTGATGTGATAGATTGGATTAAATATGAATTTGCTGATGGTGGTGAATTATTTGGTTGGAATATTATGCGAATAATATATATGACTGTTAGTAAGATTGTGTGGACAGAATTAGGTGAAGTAAAAAGGTATTATCAAGGTAAAATAATTACTTAAGATCCATAATATATAACCAAAATTAAACATTTATCTAATAAATATACATATATTACTACTCTACTTGTCGTATAAAATTACGTATAAATATCATTATCTGTAAAAAGAGTTGGTACTGGTGTTGAACATGCTGAATCCCGCGTTTCATGCAGATACCAATTGTGAAGAAAAATCATAAACAAAATCTACCCCAAAAATCATAAACATAATATATATTTCTCTACGTGTTTTTATGTTTTCAGGTCTTTTTATGTAATACATTTTCTTTCAAATAAATTCTTTTTTCATGCTAAAAGAATAATATAAGAAATTTTGACAATTAATATTAAATAATATTTCTATTATTAAAATACTTTACTAAAAAATCCTCCCACTATTTAGTAGGAAATTTTATTTTCTACACTTTCTTCGAAAAGCATTTTACATTTTAGATAGTATTGATGCATATTTAAAACCGAATCAATTGTGTAATTCAGCTTAGGTAATGGAAAAGGCGTAGAGAAATGAGAAGATGAAGGTGACGAAGATTAAGAGTTTGAATGAGAATATTTCATACTCCAAGAACATTAACCATAAAATTACTAACCAGCAACTATATAAAAAAAATTAAAAATATTAATATTATATGTATATAATTTTATGGATTCCTAATTTTTATTTTGGAGCACTATTTAATATTATTATTTTCAATATTTCAACATCAGTATTCAATCCAAATATATTTATTTGATAATAAATTAGCATTCACTAATTACAATTAATATTTCAAGGATATAATCATGTATTCACTACTAGGATAATTAATGTTGAAATGTCAATCAATCAATACATCCTTGAGGCGATATAATCATGTATTCACTAATTGACAATTTCTCTTGTATATTAATTTCGAGTAATGATAACTAGATCCAAACTACATGGTCACATCACTTACATTAAATTCTTAAGTATGTTCATCTACCATGTTTGAGACTGAGAAGTTGTATATCTTTAGATCTTCTTAGACTTGTGAAATAGGTCGGATCATATATAATATCTTGTGTGCATGCAAGTTGTTCCAAGTAGGCTCCAAACTTATAAATGTGAAATCTATTATAATATATCATTTTTATTCCTAAAAGAGAATAAATTTGAATGATTATCACATGCTTCTTATTTCAATGAAAATATTGAATTTGAGACAAGATTTTCGTAATAACTAAATAGAAAATGGATATGAAATTATTATCACTATTTTATGCAATAACAGCATAAAAAAATCAAGAGAAAAAATAGTAAAATAATGTTAAAATTGCTTGATAATTTAAATTCAATTACAAATTTGTAGTTTTAAAATTAGAAAAATAAAATAAAAAGTACAAACCATATTAAAACTAAAAGTTAATGTAAAATTTATGCAAGGCTGCAATTCTTTTGAGAGAATTGTACGTGATGGTTACATCCCAAAGTTAAAGTGGGGCGCACTCACTTGCGCATTATCTTCCTAATATTTCTCCATTTCCAAATTTTATTATCATAATTTTAAAATAAAATAAAACTCATAAAAATATCATAAATTTTTAAAATTTATAATATAATTATAGAAAAAAAATGATATTTCACCACCAATATATAATTATTGAATGAGAGAATTAGATAGACCACCAGTATATAATTATTCAACGAGAGAGTAAAAAAGAAGAAGAATATAAATATTATTATTATTATTATTATATTAATAAAAAATATATTACAATTATTAAGGAAAGAAGAGAAGATAAGTAAAGTTGAAACAGAAGTTAAGGTCAACTCATTTTCCACAAAGTAGCCAACTTATCCAATGCAACACGGGATGTTCCACCTTCGCACAATGCTTCCACTGCATTTAGTTTCATCTTGAAAACCCTCTGACGAATCTCTTTCCCTGTGTCCGATTCCATCAGTTCCCTCACACGCTCCCCCAACTCGCTCCCACTCACGAACCCATCTTTTTCCTCCTTCACCGCCAAAGCCACCTTCATTTCCTCAACCATAATCACCCTGTTCAGATTCTGCTCCGCGTACAGTGGCCACGCCACCATTGGCACCCCTTCGCACACCGCTTCCAGCACCGAATTCCACCCGCAGTGAGTCACGAATCCGCCCACCGAGTCGTGACTCAGAATCTCCCGCTGTGAAGCCCAGTCCAGCACCACCAACCCCTTCCCTTTCGTCCTCTGTAAAAAACCTTCCGGCATCAACTCTTCCAGACTCGGTTTCTCCTCCACCTCGGTTCTCACGACCCACAAGAACCTTTGCTCGCTCTTCTCCAACCCAATAGCTATCTCCTTCAACTGCCTCCTCGAGAAACACCCCATGCTTCCGAAACACAGCAAAACGACGCTCTGACTCGGTTGCGACTCGAGCCAACTCAGACACCCTTTATCTTCTTCCCCGTAAGATGCAGAAACCAAGGGCCCCACGCAAAACACCGGAGGCATGGTCCCATCCTCCTTCAACACTGCAATGGGTTTCTCTTCCATCGCTTCACATGTGTTTATTATAATCCCAGAACTACTCCTCATTGTCTCCGCTATCTGATTGAAAACCTGGTTAATGGGGCTCGAAGGGTCGGGGGATCCATTCGGAAAATTATCGCTGGAGATTGCGGGTAACCCTGGCAAGTGAAGCTCAAACGGTTGGTCTTGGACCTGTTTTTGGTGAACCGTGGCGAAATAAAGAAGCACAACGAGAGTGAAGGCTCCGGAAGTGTAGTAAAAGAAAGTGGGGATGTTGGCGTTGAGTTTTCCGGTGAGGGTTTTGGGGTTGCTGAAGTTTAAGAAGTCCATGACTAGGGCTTTGATGTTGGAGGTTTTGGCGATGGTTTGGAGTGCAACGGCGACGTTTTGGGTGCTGTGGCGGGAGAGTTCGAGGGAGACGAGGTGAGGGGGGAGGGAGGGGCTGTTGAGGGGGAGAGGGCCAAGGGGGACGTGGTGGAAGATGATGGCAGGGGTGGTGGCGGTGACGGCGGAAATGTATTGGGCGTTGGATTGGCAGGCGTGGGTTAAAGCGGCGGTGGAGGGTGGGGTTAGGATGAGGATGGTGATGGAGAGGGAAGGGTGGTCGATTAGAATGAGCTTTCCTAGCTCCACCATGGAGACTAGGTGTCCCCTGCCAATGTTAGAATTACAGAACAAGGGTGTCTTTCATGTTGGAGAGAGAGGTGAGAATCTTTTGTGGTGGAGTTTGATGTGGTTCTAAGGAAGATTTTGGCTCTATTTATGGACAATCATGACTCACTGACTTGTTTCCGTTTCCATTTATTCTCACTCACACATTCCAACCAAATATTATCGCTTCTACAGAAATCTCTTTAATTGAGATAAATAAAAATATTTTTTTTACAATTTTTTATCGAAGAACACGTATAATATGTCCCAAAATGTTAGAAGTTCACTGAATGAGATGATATAAAAAAATTAATTAAATCGGTTATGATTTTTACTTTAATTTGATTTAATTAAAGTCACACTATATAATCATCATTAATTCAGGTATAAAATATGTAATAAGAAGTCCAGATCCACTTGAACTAAAATAATTATCTATTTATTTTTTAAATTAAAATGTTATTTGATACTTTGTCTTTCTTGTGATAATTACTTTTTTCCTTCTAACGAAATTATAAATTAAAAATTATCATATTTTAATAAAATATTATTTTTGTTTTTAATGTGTTCTCAAAATAATTACTCTTTTTATTTCAGTTAAAACAATCTATTTATTGAAAAAAAAGTCAGAAATATGCTAAAAGTATAAAATTGATTATGCATTATAAAAAATATTTAATAATAATTTTAAGCCACATAATAAATGTTTAAATAACACTATTTATACAAATTTTGTAAAATTTAGATATAGTAAAAAAATCCATATAAATATAGCTTACTTATTTATATGACGTTTATTTATTTTAAATTATTAATTATCATTTGAAAACCAATTATGTATTAAAAAGTTGTAAGCATACACAAATCAACATTTTTACATTTTTTATAAGAGATCGTGCAATTAAAAAGTTGTAAGCATACGTAAATTAACATTTTTATAAGTTTATGTTTTGTTTTTAGTGATTTATTATTCATACGGATGAAAAAACGAGTATTAGATATATTTGTTTTAACTAGTTTTAGAATAAATGCGAGCAGTGGAAGAATGAGATGAAAGCTTACCTCTTGAACGATGACTCGAGAAACACATGTCATCGAATTATTATTTATGTTTTTGTCCCTCTCCATCTCCTTCATGTGAAAACATAATGCATGGAATTCATAAACAATTCCCTCTGAAAAGCTAAGCATGCATGCAAATATGAAATTCTGAAAAAGCTTGGCATACATACAGAGATTCGTCCTTACACGCACTAGGAAATCCTTATAGAGCACCACATGCATGAGCCTTACGCCGTGTTGACTGTGAGCATTAACCATGGTAGGTGAAGGTTCCGTACCTCAAATTCATCCTCTAGTTCAAACACAAGCTAAAAGATTGTGTAATGTTCCTATGATTATTACATTAAAAATGTAAGATTTACAAATACTTAAGTTATTTACATCATATGTCTAAATGTTTCAAAAGAAGAACTATTATATTACATAAGTTTCCTATACCATTTTTTTTTCAAACAAAATAACTAAAATGTAATTTTCCTCTCCACTTCCTCATCACCTTAATGTTGAGATTGACCACGTGAAATATTATATGTTCACGTGTAACAATATGTTCATCGCATTTTATATTAACTCACCACACAAACTAGAGTAAATTAGTGATAAAAATTTTTATTCATATGATTATCACAACATATTTGCAATATCCACATCTGAATAAATAATTATAACACCATAACTATATAATAAATCAAGTATATAATATCTCAACATATAAGCTAGATCTCATGTTATCAAACACTGACACTCACAATCTTAAACACCTGACTCTACTTCTGAAAGACTCTCATGCATTGAATTTAGACTCAGAGATTTACTCGTGTCATACTACCTTCCTTATGTAGATATCTCCAACATAAGTACATAATTGGAACGTGTTCTCTCATGTAACAAGATAAATCCCCATGACTTGCTAGATATAGTTTTTTTTCATGTCACAAGCTAAATCATAGATAATGGTGGATCTTCTTGGGAATTCAGGGACCATAGCCCCCAAAGTTTTGTAACTTCCATATAATTTATAATTTTGGTTCCCCAAACTTAATGATTATTTAATATATTTACTTATATATTTACAATTTTATCCTCTCTTCCTCCCCTTAGTTTTGTAAGTCCCATATAATTTATGATTTTGATTCCCCAAACTTAATGATCATTTAATATATTTACTTATATATTTACAATTTTATCTTCTTAACCTTTTATCTTTTTACCTTTTTATATTTATTTATTATTTATTAATAATATGTTATTGATCCCAAAATCACTCTCTCATTAGTCATAAAAACCTCTTTTAACTCTCACATGATATTTCAAATTTTATTCCAATTTTTCTTTAAACTATTAGAGTCTTACTTCTTCATATTAAAATTAAAGAATCCATTGTTATCAAAAATGTTAACTAGGATCACTAGAACATTTCGGAGGAATTAAAAGTGAAAACTTTTATTCAAATTTTTGTTAGGAATTCAGTGGAAATTGATTAATACAACAATATAATTTTTATGGTTTTTTTTAAACAGAAAAAAAATCTATTAACTAATTTCTTAACTAATGCTCTCAACTGAACCCCAAGGTGTGAAATAATAAATGTATTATTAGATAGTGAAATAAATGTAGTATTGAACAGTGTATTAATGTGCATTAATGTTATTTAATACTCCCTTTATTTTTAAACAAGTGCTACATTTTGTACTTTCCTTTTCTTTTTATCTGCCATTTTAAACTTAAGGTAATTATGATTTTTTTTTATTATACCCTTCTTTCCTTTAATTATTTTGCATAGTATAATTAAAAAAATTAAGGGTTTATTTATTTTTTCATTCATAAAATGAATGTGAATTGTTATAATGAAAATAGTTTATATATATACATATATATATATATATATATATTATTAATATTTAACTTTATTATAAATAAATAAAATAATTAATAATAAATATAATAATTAATATTAATATTTTTATTATAAATATTATTTTATTTTTATTTTTAATATTATTTATTATTTTTATTATTAATATCATTATTAATTTTATTATTTATTATTAAAATTATCATAAATATTTCTTGTTAATGATAAAATTTATAATAATAATTACATTAAAAATTTTAAAAATTAACATTAAAAAAACTCATTAACTAAATTCATTAAAGAACTATTATTTAGTTAATAGTTAATAAGTATAATAATAATAGTAATAATAAAAATAATAATAATAAGTATTAATTATTTTATTTATAATATTTTTATATTTTTATTTTACTTTTATTATTAATATCATTATTAATTTTATTATTATTTATTATTATTATTATACATATTAACTATTAACTAAATAATTACAATTATTATTTTTATATTATAATTATCATTATTAATAATTTTGTTAAATTGTAAAGTAACAAATATAATAATAATAATAATAATAATAATAATAATAAGTATTAAAGAAACAAATTTAGTTAATAATTTCTTTAATTTTTTAATGTTAATTTTTAGTTAATAATAATAATAATAATAATAAATATTTAATTATTTTTTATTTTTAATATAATTATTATTATAAAATTTATCATTAACAAGAAACAATTATGAAAATTCTAATAATAACTAATAAAATTAATAATATTATTATTAATAAAATAACAAAAATATTAAAGATAAAAATATTATAAATAAATATTCATAATAACAATATTCATAATAAATTAAATATTAATTATTTTATTTTATTTATTTATAATAAATTTAATATTAATGAGAATAAATAAATAAAAAGCATTATATATATAAATTACTAAAAGATAAAAATAAAAAGTTAAAAATACATAAAAACAAATTAAAATCATGTTTGATAATACGATATTTTCTTTATTAGTTACTCTATAACGATTTTTTCATTTACTTAATTTAAAAAAAATTATTTAAATCGATAATTTTCTTTTAAAATTGCACTAATGATTTTTCCTTTATTCAGCTTAAGAGATTTATTCCATAAATTAAATTCATTTACTGTTATTTTATTTTATTTTTGAAAAAAATTGGTAGGAAGAGGGAAGGTTTGGAAAGAGGGCCCCACAATTATTAGAGAGAGAAAGGAGAGAGGAAGGGTTTACAGTTGATATAATTGCGTGTATGAATGTAAACTTTTTAAGTATGTTCAAAATTTAAGGCATGTAAAACCATATTTTATATTATTTAAATCAAAATAAGTTTCTCTTTCTTCTTTTCTTAAGTTGTCTTGCATGTGAGATTTTGAGTTGCATTACACGTGACGTTTACACCAGATTTTTGCTCAGCATAAATGAATCTTTCCGGATTTAGAACCTCAGTGATGCACTTGTTTTGTTACAAGTACTTATAAGGTATTTTAAAATAAATAAAAAATATTTTTTATAATTATAACAAAAATAAACAATATTTAATTTTAAAAAAGTCACTTATAAATATATTTTGTTTTTCAAAATCACTTTATTTATAACTTTTAACAAACAGACCCTTTATCTTAATTGGATAAGTGGATTATCGTCAAATGTAGGTTACTACTTCATTAATAGCTCATGCCGAGAAAAATTCGTAGACCCCACAAAATTTCTAAAAAGGTATTAAATGCTATAAAGACAAATGGTGTGTGTCAGTGGTCGTTCACTTTCGGTGACTTTGATAAAGGGAGAGAACAATAAAATGAAAAGAAAAATTATTAAAAATAAGATAGAAGAGTAAAAATAAATAAAACAAAGTAAATGTTATAGTTGCTTTTTTTTTTTAAATATGCACAAGTAAAGATATAAAAAAAATAAATGGTAAATAGTAGAGGGAATTTCTTGCAACTGAAGTATAATATTAAGAGTATCTTTAAGTAAAATGTTTAGGTAGACAATTTATAAAAAAATAAAACAAAAATAAATGATGATAAATT